CCTTTAATGAATGAGGTTCAATCTATGTATAGTCCAGAATATTATTTTGAGGTCGAAACATTGAAGAAAAAATTAATTGATCAGAATTCTGATTTTAAGGTTTACGGAATTTTTTTTGATAAGCCAGGATGGGGTTTGATAGTTAATTTTCTTAACCATTATCCAAATCTGTTTGAAGGTCTGATGATTGAATGGACAGGAAAAGGTGCCTGTGTCTGGAATATTGATCAGCCCACTACATTTGAGTGGAGAACTATACGACAGCATTTCGAAGATGTTTTTTATTTTTATCGCGAGCAAAGTTGTGACAAAAAACTGTTAAAAGCTTTGACAAATGGTTTTTACTACAACCCAACCGCACTTATATCAGAAAAAAATTTAACTATTACAAAAGGCCGTTTTCCCACATTTTTAACTCCAATTTTCTCGTGTTTTGGCGGTGAAGAAGGAAGATGTTACGGCGCTCACCACGTGAACGCGAAGCAAGCTTGCTCGGATGCGCAACTTTATGCGTGGAGTCCATTAGAGCCTTCTAGTTCGCTTATAATGTCTTTCCACGAAGAAATATGTGGAAAAATAAACAATCACTTACTGTTCAATGTGGCCTAAGCTAATTAGTGCTTTTTAAAAATAAAATCGATGCCGATGTCCACAGCGAATTGTATTCTCGCGTTTAAAAAAGGCAAAAAACCCTATAATGATATAAGATACATAACTTACTGCGCTGTAAAGTGTTGTTTTATTGCATTCGCGTATTTTATCGATACCTGTGATTAACGTAAATTTTTGATCTTTTAGACTGTTACTTTCAAAAAAGGCTCTAGTAACGTTGTAAAGATGTTTAGTAGTATCCGACGGTTTCAAGATAAACGTAATAAAGCTATAGTTGGTTTCTACTATTTTAACGTGGACACAAGAGAAAATGGGGCATCGAAGAAGTTTCAGGTAATTATATTTAAAAATGTCGACGAAATTTTTATCCTGGTTAAGGTCATCGTACGATTTTTCGAACGACTCGCTACTTGAATCATCGGGGACGTCTATCTTGATGGAATTTTGTGGTTGAAGCTGTACATTTGCGGAAGAGACCACGTCGATTTGGGTGTATCGATAGCATAAGTCAATATCAACATACCTCGAAATATTTTCTCGTATCTTGACCAAAGTCTCATAAAGCAGTCTGTAACCAACGATATAGGTTTCATTTTTTAGTTTTTTTGCGTTGCTGCTCGTATGAGCGATGGAGTTGACGTGGTGATTGTAAAAATCAAACTCTGCCGATTTAGAGTTTGTGATGTAATCTTTTAATTCAGTAATTCGGCTATAAGAATGGGCTATCAGCGCGATTTTCGCGTCTTGCAAATAAAGTTTGTCAATTTCATTCTTGAACCCTAAAAAAAAAAAAAAGTCAAAAATGCTGCTTGATAATGATACTAGCCGTGCTACAGCTGGTTTACATATGTTAATTCTTCGGTATTTTTCGTTCCAGGGCTCGTTTAAAATATTTTTGAAAATTTTGAAAAGTAAACCGATCAGCTGCAGCTTATCGTCTCCGAAAATATCGTGGCTCAAGAATATTGAGTTAATAATGTTTTCGAGGAGTTGGACTCCGTCTGTTTCGAAAGAAATAGACAGCGTGCCGTTGTCAATTCTATTGATTGGCTTGCAATCTCTAGACTTGGTCAAACTGCCGGGAAGAGTAATACTAGAATGCATCAGTTTGCAGCTGCGTAATCAAAAACATATAATTTTTATATATATACTAAAAAATTTATCGATAATTAATTTTTTTAAGATTATGTCATCCAGAGCCTATAAAGGAACTATCCCTACACTAACCCCTGGTGTTAAAATTGGGGGGCCGTTTGAGGTTCACTCTGGCGGGTCTGCTTCATTCATTAAAGAAAGATTGAAATTGTTTGAAGAGTTGAAAGCCAAGGCTGACGCTCGTGAGCTCGAAACCACAGAAATAGTTGTAACTTTTAAGAATGAGTATTCAAAAACAGTCAAAGCAGGATCAATTACTCCAATGGACATTGTAAACGAACACAAATTGAAAGACGTGCTACTTGCTCGCTTAGTTTTTATTGACGTAGATGAAGCAAAAAAAATGCTTAATCGAGAATCCATCGAAGAAAGCGACGACGAATATGACGAAAAAGATTACTCATTTTTGTGGGATTTGAAAAAACCCATCTACAAAAGTTGCCGCGTTGAGTTTTTGACTTATGACGATGAAGAAGCTCGTCACGCGTTCAACCACGGTGCTGCCCATTTGCTAGGGTTGTGTGTTGAACAGGTTTTTGGATGTCACGTGACAATCGGGCCTGCGTTGAAAGATGGTTTTTATTATGATTTCTACATTGGCGATGACCTTGTAGTTAATGAAAGTCATTACAAACAGATAGAAACTGTGGCTCAAAGTGTTATGAAATCCAAAGCTCCGTTCGAATATTTAGAAGTAACTAAAGATGAAGCTTTGGAGCTGTTCAAAGCCAATCCGTTTAAGTTGGCTTTGATCGACAGTAAAATAAAGAGTATGACTTCTGTGTATCGCTGTGGTCCGTTTGTTGATTTGTGTCTCGGTCCACACGTACCGTCGCTAAGTGTGTTCAAAGCGTTTAGTGTAGAAAGTCATTCTGCAGTTTACTGGCTGGGAGATAGCAAAGGTGACAGACTTTACAGAGTTTACGGTATTGCTTTCCCCAACACTACATTGCTAAAGGAGTACAAGGAAAGAATCAAACAATTAAAGACCCGAGACCATCGTGTCTTGGGTAACAAACTAAACTACTTCTTCTTTGAGCCAGTGTACTCGCCAGGGTGTACGTTTTGGACAAACCACGGAACTATTCTGTACAACAAGCTGTGCAACTTCATGCGTGAAGAATACATATTGCGTGGTTTTCAAGAAGTTCACACGCCCAATATCTTTTCGTCAGATCTGTTTAAGGTCTCTGGGCACTGGCAAGCATACAAAGAGAATATGTTCATTACCAACATAGAAGGCAAAGATTGGGCCTTGAAACCGATGAATTGTCCTTCCCATTGTTGCATCTTCAAGCACTTAAATCCTAGTTACAAACAATTGCCGTTGAGATTGGCCGACTTTGGTGTCTTACACCGAAACGAGCTTTCAGGTTCACTCAGTGGGCTGACCAGAGTACGTCGCTTCCAGCAGGACGATGCGCACATATTTTGTATGTTTGAACAAATTCACGAAGAAGTTTCGAGTGCATTAGATTTTCTGTTCTACATTTACAAAGTTTTCGGCTTCAACTTCAAGCTATTCCTAGCCACTCGCCCTAAAAAAGCTCTTGGTAGTCTGGAGCTCTGGCACACAGCAGAAGAGCAGTTAAAGCGTTCCTTAAATAAGTGTTCAATTCCGTGGCAGCTCAACAAGGGAGACGGTGCGTTCTACGGTCCCAAGATCGATATAATATTATTTGACGCTCTTGGTCGTGAACATCAATGCGGTACCATTCAATTGGATTTCCAACTCCCAATACGCTTCAATTTACAGTACATCACCTCAAGTGGCAATGCCACTGTTGACGAGGAGCCAGACTGTGAAATTACCACCGACAAGAGCGTTGATGAAAACGATATCAACGCTTACACTTTGGAAAGACCACTTAGAAACAACCATGCCAGGCCGGTGATAATTCACCGTGCCATTCTTGGAAGTGTAGAACGTATGATAGCGATTTTGCTCGAACACTACGGTGGAAAATTGCCTTTCTGGCTCAGCCCAAGACAAATCTATATCTGCCCAATCTCAGACGCAACTCTGCCATTTTCGAAATATTTGTATAAATTGTTAATTCAAAACGGATACGCAGCCGAGCTAAACACAGCGGCAGCTACACTAAACAAAAAAATCAGAGACGGTCAAATGCAAATGTACAATTATATTGCTGTGATCGGTGAAAGAGAGCAAAACGAACAGTGCGTCACGCTACGAGATCGAGACGACGCGTCTAACCAGCTTTATTTAACCGTACCCGAAGCTATGCAACATTTCGAAAAATTAAACAATCTACACAGAAGGATCAAGCATGATATTCCCACTTTTGACCCAAACTGTGTGAATGACGCTTAATAAATAATATAACGATTTATCTAATTTTTAATATTAAACCAAACGTTTTAATTTCTAATATTAAAATAAAAGTTCAAATTTTTAAATACTTTAACTTGACTACGTTTACAAATTTGCACAGAAAATTATCGCGATGAATTTTTTCGAATTGTTAACATTCGTAAGCATTATAATTTTGGCGAAAGATGAATCACGGTACCCTTACTTTTTGGTCAAAGAAGGAAAATCTAAATGTTTTATAGAAAACACAGCTAACGTGCTTCCAATTACAGTTTCGTATGGAACTTACGACAATCCAGGTATTGTTTGCAGTTTACGCATATACGACCCTAAAGAATTTCTTGTTCTTAACACCAATATCCCACACGTAGTTAACTACGCAAAAGAAACTTACTTGACAAAATCTGAGGGCGCACACAAAATTTGCATTGAATGCCCCAGTTCAAAGTGGTTTAACCAGAACAGCACAAAATGGCACTTGAGTGTGGATTTAGGCGACTTTGAAATGAACCAAGAAGACATTGCTACTGCGCATGACGTTCAATCCAGCGAGTCAATGATGAAAGTTTTACAGACGAAAATGAAAAAGCTTGTGGCAGATCATCAATACAACGAAAAATTTGTTGATGAATTGAACATCGCCACAAAGAACTTATCTAACCGAGTTGGGCTGGCTACAATGATCCAGATGGTTATCATTGTGCTGAGCTCTTATGTTTTAATGTACAGAATGAAAAGATTTTTCCAAAAAAAAAATTACGTAAATTAAAATATATTAGTATATGCTGCACTGCCTTTATACAAATTTTGTTACAAATTAGAAAAAAAAAATAATATAAAAAATAGCTTATTAGGTTTCTGATGTTTAACACGAAACTTTGTTAGCCTACTAATAACTATGGAATGTATTGAACCTACCAAAGAAATTAAAGCCATTGATACTTCCAACTGGCCTTTACTATTAAAGAATTATGGAGATTTGAACGTAAGAACTGGGCATTACACGCCACTAGCTTACGGGTCTTCGCCACTTAAACGATCCATAGCTGAATACATTGATTCTGGAGTAATAAATCTAGACAAACCAGCAAACCCTTCTTCTCACGAGGTTGTTTCGTGGGTAAAACGAATTTTGAATTGTGAAAAAACCGGTCATTCAGGAACACTCGATCCTAAAGTAACTGGATGTTTGCTTGTGTGCATAAATAGAGCTACTCGTTTAGTGAAAATGCAACAATCTGTAGGTAAAGAGTACGTTGGAATCATAAAATTCCACAACAAACCTAGTGGCTTAGCTGCAATAACAAAAGCGTTTGAAACCCTTACCGGAGCTTTATTTCAACGTCCTCCATTATTGTCCGCTGTCAAACGTCAACTTCGTGTTAGAACAATATACGAGTCTAAATTGATCGAATACGATGAAGCAAATGGAATTGCTTTGTTCTGGGTTAGCTGTGAAGCTGGTACATATATTAGAACTTTGTGCGTCCATATTGGTATGTTGTTAGGTTGCGGAGCTCATATGGCTGAACTGCGAAGGGTCAGGTCTGGAACCTTAACTGAAGATACTAATTTAGTTAATTTGTATGATGTTATGGACGCCAAAAAATACTACGAATCGACCAAAGATGAAAGTTACTTGCGTAAAATTATCATGCCATACGAGACGCTGTTGCTTCACCTCCCCCGACTTGTTGTCAAAGACACTGCTGTAAACGCAATTACTTACGGAGCTCAGCTTATGATTCCAGGATTACTTCGTTTTGAAAACGGAATTGAAGTGAATACGGAAGTTGTTATGATGACAACTAAGGGTGAAGCAATTGCCATTGGAATTGCCAAAATGTCTACCAGCACGATGTGCAGTGTAGATCACGGGGTAGTTGCCGTGATTAAACGAAACTTGATGCCCAAAGACCACTACTCCGCTAAATGGGGATTTGGCCCTGTTTCAAGTCTCAAGAAAGAATACATCTCTAAAGGTTTGCTTGACAAGAATGGCAAGGTCAATAAAAACACTCCAGCAGAGTGGTTCAATAACGAAGGTTATCTACCACATATGCAGAGATCCATTCGATCTTTACAAGAACAATTGAAAGAAGATAACCAACAGGTTAAGGAATGCAAAGAAGAAATTTTAGACGACCAACAACCTAAATCTTCTAAAAAACGACATCAGACGTCACAAGATCAGCACGAGTCATGCCCAAAACGAAAACATTATGAATAGTACGGCTTTGCTCTTACCGTTGGCTTTATTTTAAATTATTTGTTTATATGTTAATATAATTCATTTCGTCGCAAATTGAATATTCTTTTATTAATTTTAATAGCGTATCTTCAACTCTTTCAAATTCATTCATATTATCAAATAATTTACTGCGGTAAAACGACTCGATAAAAGCTCTTCTGCTTATCATTTGTTTAAAATCCTTATGGTACTTTATAAACGTGGATTTTATTGAAGTGTGATTTGCAATTGAGAGACAAGATTTGTCACTAAACAGGGCTGGTGTTTTTGCTGCTATGACATATTCGATATCTTTAACTGTCCACTCGGTAAATAACAGTTGCTGACGCTCTTTGACGTTTTCTAAACATTCGATTATGATAGACGGATGCAAAGCCCCGTGATATATCATGTTCAAAGCTATGTACAGACCTTCGCTTTTATTTAAACAGCTTATGTAATTGTTAGAAAAAAAACTTCGTGTTATTAGTTCAAGTTTACTTGAGTTTGCTATAAACCTCTCCGATTTGTTAGCTTTCAGATTAAAGGGATCCATCGATATAAAAGAGTCAAGCAGAAAATGCGTCTTTTGAATTGGTATTAATGGACTAAGAATTTCAACCAGAGTGAAGTCCATATATGAAGGAAACAATACTGAGTTTAACAAACCAATCATTGAGTTAACTATTATTTCATTTTGAGCGTTTACTGGTTTCATTTTCTTCGTTTTTGAGTCGGACGATATATTGTCGAGACACTCGTTTTGTATCAAATGCACCGCGTCGGCACAATGAACCAGCCTGTCAAGAGTTAGGACGGTGTTATAAGGCTGAACTACAACGTCTGAGGTTCCGCATTCGGTGTTTGGAGCGACGCTGTAGGTTTGCAGTAAAATTTTGGGGTATTTCATCCTCAAAAGTTCCAACAATACGGATCCCATCCCACTACCAGTTCCTCCACTTATCGAGTGACAAATCGTAATGGCCTGGGCAGAATTACACATTTCTAATTCTGTGTCAATCATATTTGATAGTGTTTCCAAATTTTTCTGGGCTTGCTCATAACCTACAGCCCAATTGTTTCCAGCTCCAGCGCCCTCAGTGCCCATCCATATGGACTTCGGATCATAAAACTCTGCGTTTGGACCGTTCAAAATACTTGAAATTACTCTTGACTCCAGATCAAACATCAGCGATCTCGGTCTGTATCGGTTTTCACCCACTTCCATTAGGCCAACTTCATACCGGCAACTCTTGTAATCTTCTTTATTGTTTTCTGTATCCAGTGTACCGTCCGCATTTATGTTTAAGAAAGAAAGGTATTTTGCCCAGTAATCACTGATTATTTGATTTCCACATTGTCCAAGCGCAATCGTCAATATTTCGTGTGTCATTTAAAAGTTGTAAAAAAATCAAACCGATTAATTTTCATTTTGATACTTAAATATCTCGTGATCAAATTTAATCACAAAAAATCTACGGGATCACTATATATTGTTCCCATTTTTTAACCTAACATATTAAAAAATTTACTAACGTGATGGCTACTCTAGATACTTTCAATCAAATCAAAAAGAAAAATAAAAACCGTTTTATTGTAGACTACATGAATAAGCTTAACAAATCTATATCCTACACATTGTCGAAAACTATGCATTCACAGCAAGTAGAACGACAAAATAACAACCTGGTTAAGACGTATTCAGAAACTCTAGCTAAGTCGAAAGACAACTACAAAAATTTTAATCATAAAATCAACTTAAAAGATTCCGGCCACGATTTTTCAGAAGGGACTGCTTCACTGTATTCAGGAAGAATAATGTCTAGCAATGACTCAATATTATGCACATCGAAAAATATGAGTGAAAATCAGTTTACAAACGGTTCTACCACTAATAGTAGCTGTGGAAAACGAGAATCATACTGTGATTTAAATGATCCTAAACCGTTAATCGATAATAAGGAATTTGAACAAGATCATGATCATTTTTTTAAATTTAAGAATGAGGAAAATACCTATGATCAATGGATGGAACAGAACAATAAAAACCATTGCACGTGCGAAAAAAATTTTAAAGCAGCCAATAGTCTGATCGTCGAAATAATAAATTGTTACGAGTCATTGTCGAATCAACTAAACGAATATTTGAAAGCTAATCACAAATTAAAGATCTATTACGCTCAACTCAATGAAAAAGTAAATTATCTTTGTAGCAGAATGAATGTTCTCGAAGATAAAAGCGACCAATACTGCAATATAATAGAAACGCTCAAATAGTCGTTAACTGAAAATAAACAGCGCTATTTAATAAAAAATACGAATTACATTACTTAACTTAAAACGTGTTTAAATATCTTAACATACCAATGTTTCCAGATCGAAACATTGAAATGATATACACGAATTCAATTTATAAAGCCTGTCCGTACACGGAAAGCGATCGCAAACCTCCGTGCGGAATCAATCGGAGTAATATCACATTGGCACAACTGTTGGGTCTAAAGAGACTGACTTTGTTGTCTTGACCGGCGAGAATGCAAGTTCTGTCAAAATAACCCAGCAAACTAAGCGAAGATAAAAAAGAATAATCCGAACCTACGTTTGTTTCATCGCAGCACATTAATTCATTGAGATCTACTTCACCGGCATATATTTCGATGCGCAAAGGAATATCTCCTTGAATGTCTCGAAAGGAGAGCGATATCTCTTGTAGTGAAACGACGAAAGCCAATTTTATAACCAAATAAGGACACGACCGAATAAACGAACAAACATCAACTTGATTTTGTTGGTCAAAACAAAATGTTTCTTTTGTAGTTCTCATGGATTTCCAGTAATTATCGTTAGTTGGCTTTTCGAGTTCGTCGCACAACGGCGATAAAATGTATTGTGCATTCCTGCGATTTTCAGATGCATAGATTACGCACGCTCCTAAATGAACGTTTGCGTAATTTTCGAGTTCATCGCTACTTTTAATTCTTTTATAACGAAGCAAAAGTGGAAAAGTTCCGATAAAGTTACCGTAAACTTTGAGATTAGAAATCTCACCACACCTGTGTAGTTTAATCATTACAAAGTTATTCCTACGGATCATTCCCTCAGGGTAATTGATGCTAAATAAAGTCGTTTTATTTGGAGAATAGCTAGAATATGTGCAGACTTCATCCCAATTGAAACAAGTTTGAATAATTTCGTACACACGAGTTTTCACAATAAGGTCTAAAGGGTATGAACAACTAATTGTGTAGTTAGTTTCAACTTTTATTCCGCTTTGAGTCTGACTCGACAGTTTCTGCATCAGAGTAAAGTAGTGTAATTCCTCAACTCGACGGCCAATATATATAGAAATATTTTCCGGCAAATCATACAATCCACCAGTTGTGAATTCAATAAATTTAACTAAAATCGGCAAACTCAATTCGATGATGCAAAACTCGAATCCGTCGTCGAAATTTCGGCTAGTTTTCCAGGACTTGTCTAAAGTTAAAAGATTACTACACGAGAAATCGCTACAATAATTATTGCTGCAAAAATGCACTTTAGATCCGAGTTTTTCATTCACCCATTGGATGTAATTCAATAACTTTAAACTGACAAGATTTTTCGAGACGTTAGTGACGATTAAATTACTCGTTGGTCCTTCATTAGGACACATCAAAAATTTGCTTTTTATCTAACCAAATTTGTTGGTATCCCCAACTTGTAAAATGGCCAACCTGACAATTATCTTTTTCGTGTACAATATTTCTTTGATCACTTACGACTTTTTTAAATTTTATTTTAATCTAAAAAATATTTTGTTTTCCGCTTCGGAATTCGAGTCGCTGATAATATAAAAAATAATTCTAAATTATTAAATGAATGTTTCTTTGAAAGCAAATGAAGCTATAAATTTTGCGAGATTCATTTCATATAAATAAGTCTCGTATGGTTTTTTGACTATATGGTCAAGTCGCAGTTTTCCCAACTTAATTACACATATTTGACTCACAGAAAATTAAACCCAAATTTGGCATATGAGTAGAAAATTCACTGAAAAAGATCAGAAGAAAAGTAAGATATTCGAAGCTAGCAAGGATAACTATGACCTTCGTGTTTACAGACAGTCGTATGAAGACATTCAGAGTTTGTCTAGTTACACAGTCCCTGTCAACGACACTACAAAAAAGCCGCAAAATCGTTTTACAAGATTCTTTAAGTGGTTTATTCAATTTATTCCTTTAACTTATGAAAAAAACCGGCATGGCCTGGTTGTTGTATTAATATATTTACTTACGACACCAGTGCTTTATTATAACAACGTAGTTACTTTGCTCGGCGATGCTGCTTCGTATTTCACCTATGTTGCAGCTTCAACTATTGAATTTTACAGAGGGGCCACGCACTTAAAAACTCAGAATACGCTCTTGGCAGTGGTAATCGCGTCATCCGTTGTTTTTTCTTTTACTTTACCAATTAATTTGTTTTTGCTTGACGGAGAGGCTAATCGGGACTTTCGACAAATCATTTATTACATTTTCACCATTTTGCTTTGTCTGATATTTTGGAATTGGGTGTACTTTAACTTCCCAGAACCTAGATTGTTCACATCTTATTGCATCAGCACCAGTGTGTATTTACTGTTTCCATCTCCAGTTGATCAAAATATAATTTACAACCAGTTTTTAGGAACAGCAGGGCGTCTTGCAGGTATATTGGTATCTACATTGATAAGCATTTTCATTTTTACTGCTCCTTCTCGCAATGCTGCGATGAAGGTCGCGGTGCAAGCAATAGAAGACTTGGCTAAGTTGTCTTTGCCCTTGATCTCATTGCAAGCTGGCTTGATTGTTCCAGAAAAAAACGCAAGCGAACACAATTTAAACGTTAATTACAAATTATCTGATAATGGAGAACGCATGATTAGTTACATCCACTACGAAGACCTCACCAAATTCATTGACGGACTCTGGACCAAGATTGACCAAATCTTCATAAATCTTGCAGAGGCAAAGACGCACGCGACTAACGCTGAAAAAGAGCTGACTTTTTTCAGCTCGAAAAAGTTTGATAAAGAAAATTACTCGCTGTTAATCGAAAAAATCTGCCAGCTTTTTTATCAATTTACAAGTTCTTACTTACTTTTAAATGTTCAAGAGTTTATTTGCAGTTTAGAAACTTCGAACCCATTGTACTCTTCTTTAAGCGCTAATTGGATGTTTAGTAACCGCCTTTTTCTCGGTTCTGACATCGTGCAAATCACACAATCCAAGTCTCCAGTGAGTAAGTATGAAAATTTACAAATGCAGGACAAAAACCAGTCATTGTCCTTTAAAGATATCATAGGCGACAACGTGTTTTACGGAATTAACAATAACGTGCCTGAAGACAGCGATTCGTCGATGTCCAGTTCTTATCCCGACTCTAACGACACTTCACTCTATGTAAGGTCTAATGGTTCAGACCTGTCGTTAGTCGAAAGTTCGTCTATTCGAAGGGTCAACACGATTTCAAAGATAAATCGACTTTGCAGTTCACAAAACATTATCATATCTCGTTCAGTATCTCAAAACGACCTGATTAACGTTATTCGCGCCGATTTCTCAGTTCCAGTTAAAAATTTTATCTACACACATTTACAAACCAACCTTGCAAACAGGCCAATCTACACTTGGCTAGAACACTTTGTACCGACAATATCGAAAATCAGCAGCAGTATCCAAGACTTCATTTTTAAAATGGCCAAGTTTTTGAACGAATCTACTTTTAACATCGAGTTTCTCGCTGATTTACAGAATATAGAAGCCGATTTGTGTTACATTATATATCTCCAGTTCAAGTGGCACAAAACGATCCAAGAATTATTTGAAAACAGAATAAAAACCATGACTGAGAGCTTAACGTTATTTTCTGCCAATAACGAAACTAATGAAAAAACAGATAACGACTATTCAGCGCACCTCGACTCATACGAGTTGATTGACACAATATATAAAGATATATCTCAAAACGACGATGTCGGTCAAATGTGCCATAACACTACGAACCTCTTTAAAATAGCGTCCAAGCTTTCTAGTTTGAACGTATTGCAATCTAGCACCGCCAATTATTTAAAAGCCACTAACCAAAAAGCAGACGACCAGTCACCCGACGGACATTCCCCAGCCAGCAAACAAGACGACTCCAGATTTATCTTGAATTTAATCAAAAATGAAATACTTTTATATTGGCTACGAACTCCACTTGAGGAATATATTTTGCTGCCGTTACTCGAGAAAGAACTGTTGTGGAACTCGTTCGCGAATGTGCAAGACAAGTTGTCGCGAACGATTTCTGTCAACATCTCTTTGGTTGTGCAGATTAAATCGACTTTTGACCAGATAATTTCAATGAAATTGATAGAAAACAAAGCTTATATTACAAATTTTATCGAGTTTCTAAAAAAAATTAATGCTGACCTGGAAACTTTTCCACAATGCAAGTTAATAATTGATGATAACAGTCAATTTGAAATGCAAATTTGAACTATCATTTCTGATTAAACGAATAGTCTCTATTTTCTTTACTTAATTTGGATGTTACAGTAAAACCTGTAAAGTTTCTCAAAACATAAAAACACTTTTAATAAGTAAAAACCGTGAGTAAAAAATATTATGATCAGTTTAACGACTTACGAATCCGTTCCTTTTTAATTTAGTGATTACTTCGATTTAAGGTCCGCTCAATGGTGGTGTGGCTTGTAATTAGGGGTTTGTTGAAAGTTATTTTGCGAATATCCTTGATTTGGCATATAGTTGTTTACCGACTGTTCACCGTTGTAAACAGGGTGGTTATAAACTTGATTCTGATATGGGTAATTATTATCTTGCATGGGTGGCATGCCTGGCGGAGCATTGTAATCAGGTTGCTCGTAAAATCGTTCTTGTTGTGGAGGGTATTGGTTTGAATAGTAAATGTCTGGGTTGCCATTCATTGCGTTTTGCATTGGGATATTGTGTGCTTCTCTCTCATTTCTAAGTCTTTCTTCTTCTTGCTCCATTAGTTCAAGCTCTATTCTCTTCTGCTCTGTTTGAGCTTCGAGAACATTAATTGCATAATTTGTTTTTAGTTCTCTTTTTCGTTGTTTTAAGCGTTTATGCTTTTTGTCTGCTTGCTGTCGTTCGTTGAATTGGTTGTTTTTTGTCGACTCGTAATGGAATATACTATAGGCCACTAATGAAATACCAATGATAATCACTGCGGCTCCGAAAATCAACAAAATTATAAACCGGAAAGAGACGGCCTTAAAAACTTCCGAAAAAATGTTACCCATGGGTGTAAAAGCTCGTTTCAGGGAATTTTAAATTTGCTACTATAGAGAATATTTAATAAAATATCGCTAAACAAAATACATCACAAATGCATGCAGACAAAAAATTCGTCTTCACAGTTTAAAAAATGCATTTACAACATTAAATAAACGGTTACGCTATAAATACTTATATTTAACTAAATTATCGAAAATTTAATGCGACTAATTTAAATTGCATGGATAAGCTCATTTTTTCTTGCTTCTGCACGCTCTTTCTTCAGACGAGCCTTGTTAATCTTAGCCTCACATTGTTGTTTGATAGCTTGTTGCTTAAGAAGGGTGTTCTTGGCATTCCAGATGGCTTCAATAAGAACACGTTTGTTCTTGAACTGGTTACCCTTGGTTCTCATGTAGAAAGCGTGGTAGGAAGTGTTGTCAATCTTCTTTTTTTCGCGTAATTTTCGGAGTAGTCTTCTGAAAACTCGTTGTCTGATAATCCAAGAACGCTTTTGGTTCCATCTGGCGTTCTTAGTACCTCGTCGTTTACCGAGACCCATGTGTCGTCCCTTAGACTTAGCATCGCGGTAAAGTCTACATCGAGCACGAGATTGAGATTTGATGCTCTTTCGAACAATTAAATGCTTCTTAATTAACTTTCGGACTCCGGCACGGGTAGTGACATCCTTAAACTGAGTTCCGCAATCTGGGTTGAGGACAACTCTTTTTTTACCGCATTTAAGAATGCCAGAAGCAAGTCTTTTAACTATTCTGAGGTTTAGTGCCATTTTGACAATACAATAAATTTTCAATAATTAAATAAATTTGCGGCATAACATAACTTATCTAAAAATACTTCGATCACACAGTTGTAGCTGTCCAGTCGTTTTTAGTCTTTATAAACTCTATTTCACACTATTCATCATACGAAAATTTTTGTCACTGATGTAGAAAGAATCTATCGTTGCTATCCATACATAATTATCTCACTTTATTACAATTACAACAAGTTGTTGTTTTTCAGGTCTAAGTATGTCTGGTACGTCATGACATTTCCCAACTCGTCTTCGATCTCGACATCTTCAATCGGGTTGAAAAGGTTTTGCGACTGCTTTGTTACTAATGTTTTATAAAGCTCAAGCGCGTCGTCAATTTTGGAAATATTATTGAACTCTGCTGTTGCCGGGATTTTCAAACAAGACAACCCGTACTGGTGACGCCATCCGTTGTAATGCGACGCAAACACCGCCTGACCATAATATGTATGATCCCCGCAAATCTCACATTTATATGATTGATTCAAACCGTGCAGCTTATACAGCCAGTACGGAATCGGGTTACCATCAGGACCAAGCGGAATCTTCTTTTTTTTTTTCGGCTCTACCAAATCTTTCATTTCTTCAGCGGCAGCGTTGTCCTCGTCGGAGTAACACAATTCCTCTGAATCGTCAGATTCAACTTCGGAATAGTCCGAGTTCGGCAAACTGTCTGATTCCGCATCGATTTGATCCCAAGAAGGGTCGATATTGCCGTTGTAATGAGCTAATTCTCGCTGCCGTGCGTATTGTAAGTTTCTGGAAAGTAGATTTATCAAGCAATTTATTACATATTCTTGTTGTACCACGTTTCGCATATACTCAGATGCTTTTTTAATGATTTCTATTTTTTTTTCCCCGCTAAGTCGTTCGAATTTACGTATTTTTTCTCTAGATGCGGACTTCACCATTATTTTGTCCAGTTCAGCTTTGTTTTCCGCACAATAGTTCAATGCTAGTGAAAAACCCTCGTGTTCGTTAATGTCGATCGCATACCAACCGATTTTTTGTTGCAAAAAAAGGTCTTCGAAGTTGTTCGTCCAAGTAGTCAGTAATTTTTCGTACTCCACAAAAGGGTTGATGTTACAATACACCTCTTCAAATCGTGTTTTCAACATTTGCAAAAAATCCCTATAAATGGAACACTTGTATTTCAAGTGCAGAGGCACTATTTGAAAAAGTGATGCGTTTTGCAAGTCAAACAAAAATTCCAAATAACTATACCAAGGTTTATTTTTCGTCTCAGAAGCGTTGTCCTGTAATTGGTTAGATTTTGATTTATGGAACGTTTTCATCTTTTCCCACTGAAAAAATAAAGTGTATACGTCATACAAATCTATGGAATACGAAGAGATGTCATCTGGGCGAAAAATTCCAGTCATGCTCACCGGAATAATCGTTTTTAGTTTAATTATAACGTCTCCAACAATGCTGGATTTAATCTTAAACGGCTCAATGGATTCATCGCTCTCAACTATGTTAAGTTCACGATTAAAGCAATGATCTATCAAACCAAAATTAGAAGAAAAAATATAGTTTGTTTCGTCGTCCAAATTGAGGTCTAAACTCCAGTTTTGTGAACGGTTAGGGTCGAAATTCAGTTCTGAGTCGAGCAAAACTTGCTGATAACGTTTCATCGAGTTGCTGATAAGGGAAGAAAGTTGGAGCATCCGATTAAACAAATACAAAATGCGGTGAGACCAACAAGTTCGTAAAATTATTTTTTTTTTACACGCCTTGTCATAAGCGTTTAAACATCGCAGTAACGCTTGTTCATACACTTGTAAATGTTGAATTCGAAAAAAAGTGATTTCTGCATTTAACAACGACTCATCGTACAATACAGAATCGTAATCTGATAACATTCATGTAATTAATGCATCAAAGCTACGTACCGGTCTATAAACGCTAGATTTTCTTTACAATAACTGATTTGCAAAAATAAATTATAAAATATTTAATTGAAAAAAATTTTCTAGATTAAAACCGTTATACTATAATAAATCTACCAAAGATAAGCGTTCTTACATAATATTTATTTACAACATTTTACTAGAATTAGCTGACTGGCTAATTATTTGACGTTTTAGTTTAAGTTTTTTTATGAGCTGTTTTTCCATGTTTTCTTTTTCTTTAATTTTTTCGTACAGCAGACGCTTGCGTCGTGACAGGGTCATCTTTGATCTGTTTGCCTCATCATTTTCGCCTTCTTCGACATCATTGTCTGTCTGAGATTTGATTTCATCTTTCAATTCATTTAAAGCTGACTGGGCAACGTCGACATCGATAATATCTTTAGAAGGCTCGTAATCAAATTGGTCAAACGGAGAAAGATGGGGTGGTAAAGTTGCACCAACAGCGTATTTAGACTCGGGCTGCAACTCTATTGCGTTGATCGAGTCAAAGATCCACTGGGGCTGAACAAATGAACGGCTCTCGGCGACTGAACCTAGTTTTTCTATCAATTCGGTATAGCCTTTTGTGGGCAGATCACAAATTTGGTGGGTAATGGAAGCATTGTCTTGCGAAATGGGCGACAGATACTTTTTATACTTGGTACAGACGGAGTCATCGAATGAGATTGCTTTCGCTCCGCACGCAAGTAAGGCGAGAGCAAGCAGATGGACGTTATTTTCGCTTCCAATATAGAAAACTTGGTTGCTAAATAGATTTCTTCGTTTTTCATCTTCCGGAGTAGACGACAACAAAGAGACAACATCTCCGTCGGGTGTAGTGATGATTTCTGGCTGGTGTTCAGGCTGGGCAAACTCCAAAGCAAGGAAACCGCCGAAAGAGAAATTTTTCGAAATTTTATGAAGTGCTGGGTAAACAAAATTTTGCATTTTGCAAAGTTTCGCCAATACATGGTTAACCAGATTTTTGTACAGAATCAAGAAACAAGACATGACTCTCATATCGATCAACTCTGGCACGGACTGGGGAAGTTCGTGCGGGTGAAGCCATAAAATTTTTTGATTTAAGATTTCAACTTCGTAGTAAATTCCTTTGACGCTGACGAACGTTCTGGTTAAACATTTAGATTTACTTACAAACAAAAAAAAATTATTAATTATGTTTTTGCATTCGTTGAGGGTCTCGCCGTCGATACCAGCGTCAACATCGACAGTGAGGATTGAAAACAACGCAATGAAACTAAGAGCGTCGTCTAAATCTTTCAAAGCTGAAACGAGCGTGGGATAACGTTCAACTAAAATGTGAGTAATGGAAAGCGGTTCTTTCAAGTCTGAAGCGATACGAGCTTTGGTCAAGTCACACTGAGCTATGTATTTTTTGATTCGTTTCGCAATAATGCGTTGGCCATTGAGTTGATCAATCAATTGATCGTTGCTAAGTAGTTTAATGTCTTTTTTACTGTAGTAAATTTTGTTTTTGTCGAGTTTCGACGTGTTGGGGACTTTAGGATAGACACCCTTCAATATGCATAGCATTCTGAATTGAGACAGAGTAACCCCCAACTTACTCAGACATTTTCGTCGACTGATGAAATTGCTGGCGTTGCCCTTGCCTTTGACTTTCAGTTTTTTTTGCATAATGAATACACAAAACCGAATAACTGAAATTTATTTTCAAAAAAAAAAAAAAAAATATCTCTAATTGGTGAAAAACCTTTCAAAACACGGTAATTAAAAATAAAAGCAATAATTAAATTTAAAAAATATCGGTGCTTTACCAGAAACCACACAAGTATTACAACTGTTTAAATTATTTATTAAGATGATCATATATGTTTGTGGGTAGATCAACTTCATAAATGATAAACGATCGACAAAGTAATGATCGTTACGCTGAAATTAATAAAAATTGTGATTGGTTCGATAACTCTTACTTAGTCCAATCACCCCCACCAAAACTAAATTACCACACTTACGAAAATTCTAGTAAACAATTACCGAGAAGATTAAACCATGATTCCGTCAGCACCCACTCTTATTACAATGATAATTACGAAAGAACAAGCGCAGTTCACTTTAAAGTTAAATACATAACCTTAGAAAAAATTTCTGAGTATTTGTCCTCTAATATGATAAACTATAATTTTAAACATATTTGTGACAACTTATCTAAGCTAGATTGCAATAAAGCATCTGACTTACTTCCTGCAATATATATGAACATTTTGAAAGGCACTTGTGTTTCGCTTTTTGTCAGCACAGATATTGTGCTACCAGATATGACGAAAATTTCAAACGAGCCCGGCGTTCTTGTTGTTCGAATCGATTATAACAATACAATAGTTCACTTTTTTGCTTTATCTAATCCCCACTATAGCACAACGTGGGAGATTTCTAAGCACGATTTTTCTGTATTAAAAAATAAATACGATCTACAGTTGACCAATGCTGAGTTTCCAGAATACTTTGTTGACTTGATTCGTTCTTGCAGTAATGCTGGAAACGACACAGATGACCAGAACGTTCTTTACTCTTTAAAAATAATTTTTAACGCTGACCAATCTCACCAACTTATCATAAACGAGTTTCGCAAAAAAAGACACATCGAGTTTTTGAAATTGTTAACGCCTGAAGGAAATGACTTGCTGCAGTACAGTTCCATTTGCATATTGTGCAGGTCTCTGTCGTTACTTTTTAGGTATTCTTGCAACATTATGGAAAAAAAAACCAAGTATTTCGAAGATTGCATTATTAGTTTAAACAAACAGTTGGACGACGCTTACGAGCAATATGAAAAAAAACTAGCTTATTACCAGTCTGAAAAAAAGGAGAACGAGACACTGCGGCTAACGAGTTTCGAGCTCAACAAACAAGTTGACTATCTGAAGCTCGATAATGCGGCACTTAACAGCAAACTAGAAAGAAAAGAAGAAGAGTTGAAAACACTTAACCAGAATTTTTACGATGCCAACAAAAGTTTAGCGGAGGCAGAAACTAAAATTGGTTCGATACAAGCGGAAATTAACACGCTGAAAAAAGAAAAAGACTTGATAAAACACGAGTCCAACAACCTGTATAATGTGGTGTCTTCTTTTAATAATGGGAAGCTCGATGTTAATTTATTTGTAAAAAATCTGCACTTGCTGCAAAAAAAGAACGAAAATATTACCAAGAACAATCAGCTTTTAGAAGAGAAAATTAAAGGCTTGCTAGAGAAGAATACCGAGTTGTATGATGAAATAAATAACGAAAAGTTAGACAACTCTGCGCTCAAACAAAAGCTCGAAGAACTAACTAATGCCAACGAGAACTACAAAAAACTTGCTAGACTTAACTCTGAACTAGCTGAAAAAAATAAAGAATTAGAACTAAAATATTCTCATTCAATCGAAAAGATTGAAACTTTGGAAACTAAAAATAACGTTTTAAAAAAAGATCTGCGTGCTTTGAATATTCACTTCGCCAAAAAAATTCACGAAATCAAGCAGTCACGGAATGCAACAGCCAGCGAAAACCAAATTGAAAAGGGGATGAACCAACAAAAAAACTTGTATGCTGTTATGAACAAAAACAAACATGCTGAAGCACCAGTGCTTGAGCTTGCGGAAGATTTGGACCATATCAACAGTATAAGCGAAAGCAAGTTATTTGAAGAATCAAAAAACTCAATAGTTGACAAAACCCCAAACAACGCAATGAAAAATATACAAAGCATATATTCACCCCAAATTTCTAGCGAATACAGTCATTACGGGCTCTCAATCAATAATGAAAATAAAAACATCTACAAGTTCTCTAATTCTTCGAATCGGAGAAGTTTTTCTCCGTCGCTGAGTCAAAAACTCGCAGAGACGGGCAAACTGAACAACTCTGTGTTGGTGATTTCGAGCTCAGACGAAGACGTTGTCTACTCAGATGAAGAGTCAAACGAGGTTCAATATTAGGATCGTGTTTGTTTTTAAGATTAATATATCATAAACCAAAACAAAATGGAAACGAAAAAAACGATTTTTCTTTATGCGGCATTTTGTAATTAAATATTGATATAAATTTTTATTTCTATTATTATAACTTCGACATGACTGAATTCAAATACCTTGGGAAGCACTTAACAAATCTCGACATTTCATCTTGTTCTACCTACAAAGACGTGAAGGAAAAAATCAATGAACTAAACTTGATTGGCAGCAGCAACATTCGTTTGGTCTTGAACGGTAAGTAAGAGATATACTAACTGAGGTTTCAATTTTTATAGGTATTGTATGTGACGATTCCAAAGAAGTTTCTGAAGATGCAAAGAACGACAACACTATTATTCACGTTGTAAAAAACCCTTCTGCGTCTTCCAACACGTCTCGGGCAGCATCCAAACCAGCTCAAGCGAACGAAGCTAATACTGAGAAACCAAATTTCTCGTCTAATCCGATGTTTGAAAACATGATGAAAAACTCGCCATTCGGGGGATTCATGCCAGACATGAACACAATGCAAAAGTTACTGGACAACCCTCAAATTCAAGGCTTGATGAGTCAATTAATGAAAGACCCAAACACAATAAGAGAAATTGTCAATATGCATCCTACCCTGAACAACTTGGTCAACCAAGATCCGTCGCTTCTTGATAAGATCGCTAAAAACACAGCAGAAGGTGGTATTGGAAGCAACATGTTCGACCCAGAAACTTTAAAAAAAGCGTACGACACAGTGAGCAACATGAACCCTGAAGACCTCAAAGGCATGAACCAGTTCTCGCCAAGCCAGATTCAAGAAGCAATGAAAAACATAAACCCAGAAACCATTTCCAAGATAGGCAGTCTAATGAACGGCACCATGAAGAACAACAACGCTCAGTTCATGTCTGAACAAGCAACGTCCGGAGACGGTACCATATATAAATACAAAGATCAACTTGACAAACTAAAAAACATGGGCTTCCTTGACAACAAAGCTAACCACGAAGCTTTGAACGCCTGCAACGGTGACATTGACAAATCCATCGAATACCTTCTCAAACAGTTGGATTAAATAATTGAATAAGCTAAGTAGTAACCTTGTTTTTTTATTTATTTTCTTCCACACGATATTATTAGTTTCATAATTATTTAACTAAAATATATTTTTAGATATTATTGTTCGTCTATCAATGTCTAAAAGCAACTATGTAGTTTCAGGAATAATTGAATTTTTTGGACTAGTTGGTAGGTACTTTTATGACGACGCGACAATAATATTGCTGGATTTTCTTGCGAAGAACGAGAAAGCGTTTTCAGAAGCGGAAATTTTGAGTATTTTGAACTGGAAAGAAGCTCTTTTGATGAAAGTTTTACTAAAATTAGAAAACCACATGATTTTGGAACGAATCAGTTCGAATCAAAGCAGTGCCCGACCCGCCTTTCTGTGGCGCATCGCGCCGTACGCCATTGCTGCAATAAACTGGAGGTACAAAACGTTGCTCAACGATCTACAGAACAAAATGGTTGACTGTAAGCAAAGTGACTTGCTGACTTGCCCGAAGTGCAAGGCAACGTACACTTTTTTGGAAGCGGCCTCTGGAGTAACGTCCCAAGTAAATGATCATCCTTTATGCGGCGAATGCAACGTGGAGTTGGACTTTTTATCTGTGGAAAACACACAGAAAAAAGATGAAGAGTTTTTTTACAAATTGATCGACGAAACGAACGGACTGCGAGCGCTGCTGGAACGTTACGCAAACATGGAAATTCCGTTCTTCACGCCGAACAAGCTTGAAAAGAACACTGAAGCTTCTATAGAAGCCCTTCAGACTGAAACTGAAAAGTCAAAAAACTCGGACGTTCCTAAAAATTATTCAGGCTCGTCGAGCCAGTCACAGTTTGCAGCTTGGTTCAATCCGAAATTGAAAAACGACCGTCCAACCGTTACGCGCACCAGTCTGAATAGTTCTGTGATAGATTTCGCCGACAACTCAGCGGATTCTTTGATCTACTCGCCTTTGTTCACAGAAAACAATTTTTTGGATTCTGAGGTAACCTCAGAAAAGTCATCGAGTCTCGGCGGGCAAAGTAAAGCCGATTCGATCAAACCTGTCTCGATAATTCTCCAGACAAACTCGGACCAAGACAAGCCTGAACTTATAAAAAACAACGCAGGAACCCAAAAATTAAGCTCGCCACCGAGAGGTAAAAGAGTTAAATTAGAATAGTTTATTTAATTACGTATATGTACAAAGTTTATTTTAGCTAAACAGTCATTATCAACTGCACAGGATCAACTACTAAAATGAATTAAACGGCCAACTGATTTTGAGTTTGTTTGAGATAAACTTAAGTTTTTGATACCGCAGGCCAAACAAATTTTTAACGCAAAGCTCGTCAATGTCATAACAAAAAGATGTGCGGATGTTTATACAGACGTCATTCTTGAACTTGTCATAAAGTATTCGCTGTAATATCGGCACAAAAATGTTGTTGCAGGTTTCATAGCTAATAAGTAAATAAATTTTTTTTGAGTCCGCTGTCAAAAAAATGACGTATGACTCTTGCTTTAACAAGAAATACGAAGCAGTGGCAGCATAAATTGCAAAAACGTTCAGTAACGTTTCAGAAACCTCGACATTATTAGCGATTGCTACGGGATAGACGAGCAACGTGACGTTGTTG